GATTGCAATAAGGATATAGTACAGGAAGAAAGAATTAGTTCGTAGAAAAAAAGATATGAAGGGATTTTAATCTCTTAGTTTAAGAGAAGACAGAGAGTGTATACACCGACGCCATTGTGATCGATTCTGAGCCATGTCACCAAGAGTCTCCAACCATTGGTTACGAAAGTCACGCGGACCCCAACCAAGTAGTCTGCATCTACCAACATGGCTCAGACTAGAAGTTAGTGACTTCAAGCACTGATGCCACGTTTTGGTTTGGCCGCCCCTAATTCTCTTCCAACCATCTCTAACACCCGTTAGGATTGCACGTCGTGGTAATCGGTGTTCGGGCATACGTAACACGTGGCCCAACCATCTCAGTCGATGAAGATTCACAACCTCATCAACTGATTTACCATCATTCCCTGATACCCTGCGTCTAACCTCACTATTACTTACCTGGTGATCCCAGCAGACGCCAGCAATATTTCTAAGGCATCTGTGGTCAAATACTAGTAGCTTACGAGTATCTTCTACTCTTAATGGCCACGTTTCGCTGCCGTAAATTAAAACAGAACGGACTGCCGCGCAGTATACTCGTCCTTTTGTTGATAGACGGATATCTCGCCTTCACTATAGGTGATGTAAGTTGGCAAAAGCTAAACGAGCTTTTCGAATCCGTGCTGAGATTTCGTCAAACACCAACTCATTAGGGCTGATCAGACTTCCAAGATAAGTGAAGTTGTCAACGCGTTCGACTACTTCACTCCCTATCCTTAGTTCAGGTGTTGACACAGGCCAGTCCTGAAGCAGCAGTTTGCATTTAGAGGGAGAGAAGCGCATTCCAAACATTCTGGCATTGTTGCTTAGTGCTACCAGAAGACTCTGCATTTTATCAGCGTCTTCACCAAACAGGACTATATCATCTGCGTATTCTAAGTCGATAAGTGGACCTCCTGGATGGAGATCAATACCCGAGAATTCAGTCGACGAGAATGTTAGTTCTATCAATAGGTCTATGATGAAGTTAAACAAAAATGGGGAAAGTGGACAGCCTTGACGGACACCACTTGAGGTTGCAAAAGTAGATGACAGTTCGCCATAAGCCCTGACTCGACTAGTAGTGTTCGAGTTAAGAGCCTTTACAAGGTTTATGTACTTCTGTGGTACGCATTTCAGTGACAGACACTGCCACAGAATCTCGCGGTTTACAGAGTCAAATGCTGCTTTTAAGTCAAGAAAGACCACCATTGTCGGATGCCGATAAGTATGCCTGTGTTCTAGAATCTGACGAATGGTGAATATGTGGTCGATGCAGCCACGACCAGGTCTGAAGCCAGCTTGGTTCTCTGGTGTTTGCAGTTCACGAGTCTTAGTTAGGCGTCTGATAATTATCGAGGCTAGTATTTCAGATACTATATTAGTTAAACTAATCCCGCTGTGGTTGTCACAAGATGATTTTGACCCTTTCTTATATATTGGGACGATAAGTGATTGTGACCAGTCAGATGGAATAACGTCTGACTCCCAGATTTTAGCTAAAATATTAGTCAACCTAATCGCTAAAATTGGACCACCATCCTTAAAGACTTCTGGAGCCAATCCGTCTGGACCAGCTGCCCTTCCTCGTTTCAGATTAACTATAGCCTTCTCAACTTCAGCAAGAGTTGGGGGACCTACTTCAATGTTCCATTCACATTGTCTGGGAATGGAGGGTAGTTGTAGAGTCGCTGAAGGTCAGTTGAACTGTTCCCTAAAGTGTTCCGCCCATCGTTCTAAACGTCTGGACTGGGAGCAGATGAGAGTACCGTCTTTTTCCGAAATAATCTCACTTACACTTGACATATTAATTCCAGTTTCTTTTATTAGTCTGTAAAGCTGTCTTGTGTTCCCTATAGTCGCCGCCTTTTCCATCTCTTTTGCTTTCGTTGCCCACCACTGCTCACGGTCGTTCCTTAGACTTTTCTTTAACCTAGATCTGATTTGTTTACGCTCTTCATCATGTTCAGAACCTGATGGGACGAGTTTACGAGAATCCATCAGTGTGATAGACCTTGAGGAAATCCACTGGTTCTTTGTAACTCTGTGGTTTAAGTCACTAATAGATTTCATTGCTGTTTCCACAGCTGTTTGTATATTTTTCCAAGCAACATCTGGGTCAGCCTCGTTTTCAGAACTACCTAAGTGTGACCTCAGTTGTTCTTGGAACCTACTTTTGGTTTTCTCGTTACTCAACTCAGTTCTAATGGGTCTTTTTAATGTGGCTTTTTTGCGTCCAGTGAGGCGCAGGCAGATACATGCCCGTACTAGGGCATGGTCGAAGTCCAAGCAGGTACTCCAGAATGAGCGACAATCTTCTACCGACCCTCTCCAACGATGACTGATGGCAATATGGTCTATTTGAGTCCATCGTTGGTTTGGTGTAGGGGGTCGCCATGTTAGACGATGTCTCTCCTTATGCTTAAAATTTGTGTTTGCTAAAAATAAACGATTGTCTGAGCATAGTTGCAGCAGACGATCACCATTATCTGTTCGCTGTGTCGGAATACTAAAATATCCAGCTAAATGCCTTTCTGTTTGGTTTAAACTACCTATCTGAGCATTAAAGTCACCTGCTACGAGTACTATGTCTGAGCGTTTAGCTTTCTGCAGAAATTCGGACAGCTTTCTGTAAAATTCATCTTTCACATCATCTGAGCTGCAGTCAGTGGGAGCGTAGGCAGAAACGACAAAAAGGCAACGACGTGTGTCCCTATCCTTCCGAGTTCTTGCGTAGCCGTTTAGCCGAACAGCACATAAACGACTGTTAACGGGGATCCACTCTAGCGGTGCTTGTTCCGCCCTCATGCCTAGTGCTATGCCTACACCTGCCAGTCCACGAGAACTGGCCATCAAGTCACCAGATACACGGAGGGTGTATCTCGTTGGCTCTCCAATTTGCCGAGGTGAGGTCAAGTGAATGACCACACTGGGATCCTGTATGCGTGTTTCGGAGACACAGCATACATCAATGGTAAGAGACTCTAGGGTTTTAGCCAAGGAAGCCTGCTGACCGATTTGACATAGGGTTCGTACGTTGAAGGCTCCAATGTGTAGTGTGGAGCGAGGTTTCAGTAGACCTGGGACAGTGTTTTGAGCACTAGAATCGTTGGCTATGGTGACACTTGAAGGGGAAGCCGAAAAAGGAGGTTTGGAGGTGAAAGTCGATGTAGGAGGAATAATAGGAATTGCAGAGGGAGGTTGACTATGAATACAGTGGTCTTGAATGCTGTTAGAGGTATGAGGGCGGTTATCACTTCCCGGTTGCCCACACCGTGAAAGGGTTGTTCTGGAGGTACCTGAAAAAGAAATTGGATTAGAGGGGGTCTTAGTGACCTGGGAGTGTGACCGCAGTGCCCAAGGGACAACTGCTTGAAACCAATCACACACGACCTTTTTATGGGTAATTTTTGTGTTAGCTCCGTACTTGTTGAGACCTTACCGCCGGAGACGGATATCCGTAGGATAAGGCGAGGTGTGCATTTTTAGGGTCGACCGTTTCTGACCCCACCCCTCCTTGTGGGAAGGCAGCATCGCTGTCATGCTGGTTGTCTGAAGGAAACACCTTACTGCTGTCACACCTCTGTACAGTCAGCAGTACGACTTCGCCTTCGGACCTTGGGTTTGTTGCTTTCAGTCTTACCGCTCATCAACCGACCTGTCTGACATGGTAGGACCTTGAGGAACAGTTGTTCCAGCCAGTATAGCTCGGTTGCTTCATCACGATAGGTAAGCCCGACTACCACTTCAAGGTAACAACAACGGTCGGGCTCTCCAAGAGTAGGTTGTTGCTGATAGTTTTTGGCTAACGGATCCGAAGTATTTTGCGTAAACAACTGGTAATAAACACTAGTATCTTCTGGATGATGGCTTTCGTAGTTCTCCAAGTTTCTATCCTATACACTAGAACCATATTGACATCTGTATTGAAAATGCTGACATTGGTGTTGGTTGACAGAGAGTTGTTTTGAGTTCCAGATTTTCTTCAGTTTTTAATATGCTGCTCTTTCTATGCCAATTCGCGCTTTCACATCTACATCAGATGCATCCATGTGGCAAGTTCTAGTAATTACAGAAACGTCTTCAGTTAGTAGATAATTGGTTTGATTTCAGAGCTTGTATTATCGTTCTGGATAGCATCTTTAACAAATACTTTATGCAGAAGTAATGTTTTCTTGTATTCCGCAAGTGTTATATCGGTTCATTTCTATGACTTTGTGACTGACTGCCCTCGTAGGGTTTGTTTTCAAATCTTTATTTATCTTCGCATTTTTGTTGACTGTTTTCATTGGTTCACGATGCGGATTTTTTTCAAAACTTAGCCCCGTTTTTATATGTTAGTAGACTGGTAGTTAATTTGAATCTCATTTCATGTATATGAAAATAATGAGACTAGTTATCACGTTATATCAGTAGACTGACAATATTTTCTTTTACTATTTATTTCTAACTAGTATTATATAGTTATCAACTTGTTACCTAGGTCAATCAAGGCATATAAGTTGAATATACAGTAAATTTTAAAGCAGTTACATGAAATGAATTAGAGATAAACATATTTGTATTTTATATTCAATCATCTACAAATCTATTTTAATACAGTAGATATTCACAAATATTCACAAATAATCGTTTAAAGATCCTCATCATATTAAAAAACTAGTAATTTCAGTAGTTGAGATAATGAGTAAATTGAAACTAGACCATCATGGAAAGCCTGGAAGCACTGGACGACCGTTTCATTCTATTGTGGGACTCCTCAGCAGGATTGTCAAACAAATTAGAATAAAATTATTAATAGTTTTATCCTTCTGTTAATTTTTTCCAAAAAAAAACTAAAAACTAACCAGAAAAAAGAAAAATTTAATTTCAACCAATCAAAATGCTAGAAAATAATGTCGATTTGTGATTGGTTGATTATTTGGTGAATATTCACTTTATTTATGTGATGATTATATTTTATTGTTATTTCCATTTAAGAAAGATAAAATGCACATCTTTGGTTTTCCTTTAGACGGATAATAATTTTTTTTAAAGTAAACTATCGATCTTGTTTATTTTTTTATTTATTTCCCCCCCCCAAAAAAAACACAAAACAAAATGATTCTACAAGAGGGGGAATTCAAATAGGAAAATTAATATAAATCATGACTAGTAGACAATTATGTCAATCTATACCAGAATCTTATCAAATTAATAGTATAAAAATTATCTATTTAACATGTGCTACAATAATAACAACAACATTTATTATAGAATGTATATTAATCCATTTAGTTGTACAACCATATTTTCATGAATCAGCATTTACACATACAAATTGTACATTTATACATGCATATATTGTAAGAAAAGATGTTAAATGTGAAAATAAATGTTCAAAAGATCGTTCAAAATTTCCATGTTTAAAAGTGATTGTACAATATTTTAATGGAAATAAAAATCATACAGTTATATTATTTGATAATATAGCAACATATAATCATTATAAATTACTTGGAGTAAGTTAGTTATTATAATCAATTAATTGATTTATAATTAAAGGGGTGGTGGTGGTTGTGAAGATTTTAATAATTTAATAGTTGAATTTGTGAGTTAATGAAAGAGCAATGTTAGACATTAACACCGTTGATTACTCGGCTCAATGATCTAGAGGTTAAACGTTCATTTGCAAGACTAATAGATCCTGGATGGATGAGCACTATTGAGGAGTTTCATACTAGAACGAAACGACTATTCAGTGCTTTCAGGTTTAATTGACTCGTGGATTCAACGATTAAGTAATTTTATTATTGTATGGTCCAAAAAGGTTTAGTTAGTTATTTTGACTCGGCTACATAAAATTATAGTGATAATAATCAAAATTTGTGGTGGGCAATTTAATTTTTTTAAAGTTGATAGAATTCATTTCAAATTAATTCATTTCGTATGGTTGATATTATTTTGGTAAGCGTTTTTTGTTGTGAGGGAATAATCAAGATCTTTAAACACAACACGGAGAACACCAACCCAATCACACTTGATGAAGAAACTCTGGAAGAGGTGGGGAATTTGACGTACCTGGGAAGCATAATCGATGAACAAGGAAGATCGGATGCAGACCTAAAGGTGAAGATTAGCAAAGAAAGGAAAACATTCCTACAGTTGAACAACATATGGAACTCAAAACAACCAATATCAAAGTCACAATCTACTATGGTAGAGAACAAACTATCTCCTAACTGAGGAGGAAATTAGGTAAAGACGTTGAAAATGGATAGAGAATACATTGAAGAAACCATCAAACTACATCACGTGGCGAGCGCCAAATTCGAATCCTGAATGGAGACAGAAAAGTGGAAGAGTAAGGAACACATTGCTCATGGATTTGGAGGCAGACATCAAAAGAATGAGTAGCAATTGAAAACAACTGGAAAGAACTGCCCAGAACAGAGTAGGTTCGAGAATCCTGGTGCACGACATATACTTCTCCACAAGGGGTAATAGGCGTAAATAATTAACTTAGAAAGGTTGATATTACCTAATTTACTGCGTTTTTAAAAGACATCTAGCAGATTTCATCAATATATGTTCCTTATTCGTCACTAAATAATTCACATATATTAGATGTCCCAATCTGTGAACTTGAAATTGAAATAAGTAATATACATCATTGACATTTTGCAACTGTTTTACATTCTACAGTGAAATTCTTACATTACATCTTTATAATTTTGTAAACTATATGTATATAAAGAACTCACTTGGGAATATAACTTGTTTAATTATTTAAATCAGGATTGGTAATAGATTTTGATCTGCTTATTCAACCTCTGTGTAGGGGAAATAATTTTAATCAAATAAGATTTGGTAAAACTACATGACAGTTTCGTATCTTTAATATTTTACATTGTAATTTACACGTGTAATTATTATGTGTACCTACACATTTCATCAAAGAGAATACAGATTGCGCGAGAATTGAATGATATACATAAGTAATCGGGTTTGGCAAGTGACTAACAGTGGTATCTAGGACATGTATTTCGTCTGCTTTGGAACTCGTTAGCTAGATATACTTGTATTCAAGAGTTGATGTTCAAATATAAATGAATTAAAATTCACCCCACCACACAAGCTAATAGTTGTATTGACTCTATAGTTTAATAAATAACGCGATATCATTTAAAGCAAACTATATTGAGTATCAGAGTAAACATCTACTAGTCCTTAAGTACACTATTACTCATCACACAACTCTACTCACAATGCTTATCACTCAATAACAACATCGTGGAAATTCGTACAGTATTCTGCATATTTATCAACAACAAAAAAATTGACCAGTCCATCATCAATCATCTAATTCAAACAATCAACAAAAATAAATTAACGAGAATTAATTCAACATTATGTTGATTGGTTGGTTGATACATTGGCGACAGAACGAATGTCACAAGTTTTACTCGTACACATAATTCTGGTTCTTCTCAGATGTATAAAATATGCTCCAAAGATACTTGTATGATGGAAGTTCACTACATTTGACAGCTTTCTAATTATCTTGTAAATGAATTTAAACACTGAGTTCTTTTTGATCGAATGATGTGTATTGACAAGGTGTTTGATTATACAACTTCTCAGTGAATCATTCTCCACCACTTTTCAATGAAACTGGGTAGTGTTTATGAATGGACCAATCTCAATTAATTTAAGATTATGAAAACAAAAGGTGATTAGGTGATGGTGACAATGATGTCTAGTAAACATTGTAGGTAGTAATAATAATAATAATAATAATAATAATAAAAGATACTGACATCTCTCTACTTATATTGGTGGTAATGAATAGCAAGGCTTTCTACATTATTGAATGATAGAAGAAAACAATATAACAAGTTGGTTGTAACATTCAGCAACTATTGATTAGATATTACTGTAAGAAACAACTAGTTTATCAACAAATAGTAAATTATCGGAATGGGTTTTGTTGAGATTTTAGTAATCTCAATAGTTGAAATCATGAGTCAATTGAAGTTAAACCACCATGAGAAACCTGGAAGCATTGAATGGTCGTTTCGTCCAAGTATTGAACATTAACACCGCAGGATAACGGCCTAGTGGTCTAATACTTAAGCGCTCGCGCGTGAAACTCATAGATCCTGGGTTCAAATCTCGCGGGGGAGGAGCGGGATCGTGAATGCTCACATTTAAGGTGTCCCATACTACGACGAAACGGCCGTCCAGTGCTTCCAGGTTTTCCATGGTGGTCTGGCTTCAATTGACTTATGATTTCAACTATTGAAATAGTAAATTATCCAATTCTCATAACTGTTATCAATCTTATCTATAGGGTATATCGTATTAGAAAAGTGTAGTTTATGTTTCCAATGATAATAAACTTATTTCTTATATACTATCTCATGCATATAACCATTAAAACTATTCACAGATTATTTTGGAAAATTGTGTTCAAATACATATCAAGAAATGACAATCAATAATGATTCTATGGTCTAGACAATCTGTAAGACACTATGAGAATATTTTTTTTAAAAAAAATAATAAATTGAAGAGAGAAAAGTCAATAAATTCATGATCGCCTGGGTGTGTATGTGTTTCTTTTTGTCTCCCTTCAAATTGTCAATTTAGCAACCAACTCAAAGCAGCTGTAACTGTCAACTTTTAGTAAAACCAAAAAAATGGTTAAGCGAGGAATTATTATTTTTTTCCCAGTGAATTCATTGGCAAAGTCTTATAATGACAACAAGACAATACTTTTCATAATGACAATCAATTATGTATGTTTGTTGATAGCAATTATTTACTGAATTTAGTAACAATGATAGAAACAAATAGTTATTTATTTAATAGCTGAGATCATGAGTCAATTGAAGTTAAACCACCATGGAAAAGTTGGAAGCACTCGGTGGTCGTTTCGTCCCAGTATGGGACTCCTCATCAGTGAGCATCAATGATCCCTCCTCTCCCCCACGAGATTCGAACCTAGGACGGATCAGGCTCGTGCGACAGTGCTTACCTTCCAAACCACTGAGTCGGCATCCAATGATGTTATTGTTTAACTTCAAACATTCACGAAATTGCGCCACCATCCACTATTGTCATCAGTCAGTTACTATCTCACAACAGACCCGGCTGAAAACCACTGATCACGGATTCTCACTAGAACTCCAGGAAATACTTCTTGAAGACCGTCACTAGTGGTGGTTTAGCTTCATTTGACTCATGGATTCAACCATTAAATTATTAAAATACTCACAAAAACCCTTCTCTAGTTATTTATTTGTTATATTACTGAAAATGTAGTTTCGAAGATCCTGAATATTCGTCAAAATTATCTTAGAAATTAGATAAGGATTAATAATTGTGAAAGTTGCTTGCATAATATAATAAATGAAATTATTGAAATTGAAAGAATATTTAATCTAGAGAGACGTGGAACCAAAGGTAAGTTGGTTAGGGGTAAACGTTAGTAAAGTAGTAGAGAAGAAGAGGGTGATGGCTTTCACTATGAGGTCTGAAGTTCCTGTATTCTGTCCACTGTATGATCAGACATGAACACTGAAGAGAAGTCCCATACATGAATGGAATAGATGTCAAGCACTTACAAGTTTTCAATGATTATCTAGTTTAAACCAATTTGTTATCTCAATAACATTCAACAATCTCCATTTATCCCGACACTGATATAAGGTATTATTAAGAGTAAAACAATCTTTGAAACAAAGTAAGGCGGTTCAATGAATTATTCTTTCTCATTCTTGAAGTTCTACAGTCGTTTATTTATTCAAATTTAGTAATAACACATGCTGTGTACATTTTGTTCAATTTCGTCTCTTTGTAACTACATTCAACAAATTATTGTCATCAGAATTAATTATTTTTAGAATATTATCTTCAATCAAATCTCTGAGGAGTCCCATACAAGAACGAAACAGCCGTCCAATGCTTCTAACTTTTCAATGGTGATCTAGATTAGATTGACTCATGAATTCAACTATTAAAATGTTTATTATTAACAAAATTGCTCTAAGGTTTATCATTGATCATTTTTATCTGTCTATGATAAATCGTATCCTATTTAACTGTTATATAATTAGGTAAATATCCTTATCATTATCTTCATCGTTCTTCAGGAGAACGATGAAATCTCCACAATCAAACCATCCAGCTCAGAGAACAAAACTTCATCAAACTTACTGTTTATATTTTGGGTGTATAATTATTATCAAATTCTTTGTATTACGAACTTCCATTGTATCTATTAACTATTATAATAGATTTCATAGTTTCTTAATCAAGGCTAGTCGATTTTTGTCCTTTTACTCAGTTCTATGTTATAGGTGACTTGATTTTGTGTAAAGTATGATTCTTAATTTAAATTGTGTTAGGCGGCTGGGTAATTTATACTAATAAAACTATAAACGAAATACAGATATAATAAAAGCCTACCTGATACGTTTGCTTATTCGAATTTATCATTGAAGATAAAGGAAGAGAG